TTGTATCTCATGACCACATTTTTCTTACACAAAAATTTAATTTCTTACCAATTTTATCCTACTGAAATGACAAAAGTTATCTCTCCTAGCTGTCCATGCTCCTCAGCCTGCACAGAAACATCTTTGGCTTTGCATTAAAAATGAAAAGAAAAGCAAGCTATATATTCAAGCGTGTGCATGGATGCTCTGGCACATAAAATCTCACACTGAAAATTTCACAGCAGTTAGATTTTAGCCTTCATAATAAAATACTGATTTTAGAAGATTAAAGGAGGTATCTCCGATGTTAACCACTGAAAAATATACTTAACCATTGGACAACAGCAAGTCTTCTTTCTAGCTCTTTAAAGATATTTTAATCATGCAAAATCAGCACAGTGTAATCTAGCACAATACAAACTTGTTCCCTCAGGTCAACTGGCTTTTATTAATTTACAGGGTTTAATAGTTATTAAACACAATAGTTATTAAAAATAACAATTCTAAAGGAAGTCTAAATGTATTATTTTAGAAACAATATACAGCAATTAGCAACAGAAACTATTACTCTTTCAACTTGTGTGGCCTAGCTCTGCTATGCAGACACAGAATTACAAAAGAAGAATCTCCAAGATCCAGAAACTGGTTACACCTTCTACCACACACACATGGTATTTGCAGTAACAAGCACAGCATTGGGTAGTTCACACTAGAGCGGAATGCAGGGTGCAGAGAAGGCCCAGTGACTCCTCAGGACTGGAGCTGGGTGACAAGGAAACTCCACATCTTGATAAGAATCACACTCATGGGGGCTGGAGAAATGGATCAGCGGTTAAGAGCAGTGACTGCTCTTCCAGAGGACCCGGGTTCAATTCCCAGCACCCACATGGCAGCTCACAACTGTTTGAAAATCCAGTTCCAGGGAATCTGACACCTTCACACCAATGCACATAAAGATAAATAAATCACAAAAAAGAGAAAAGAAAAGAATCACACTCATTTCCCCCAAAATACTGTAAATACATGAGACCCAACAACTACCTTTTTATTTTTTTTTTAATCTCCTTAGGGAACATAAAGGATGGACCAGTATGTCAATTAGGAAACAAGTAAAAGCCTTTAAAGAAAAAAAAAAGAATAATTAAAAACTTAGCCAAGGACGTAACGTTTGCTCTCACTTGCTTCTCCCTTTGTGATTTCTCTTATCATATTCATTAACTCTATGTGTGTGCATATGCACCTGCGAGCGTGCATGTGTGTGCCACGGTGCACTTGTGGGGGCCGGAGGGAAACCTGCAGAAGTCCGCTCTCTCTCCTTCCATCATGTGGTTTACGGGGATCTAACTTAGGTTATCAGGCTTAGCGGCAAGCACCTTTACCCACTGAGCTGTCTCTCTGGCCCTCACTCAATTCTTAGTTGGAACACCATGGAATAACTATGCAGACAACCAGCTAGTGTGGGAGAGACAGGAACTCCATCTGCGACCTATCGTCAAGCTGTCTCAACAACCCTGATTGTCTGCACGTAAAAAGAATTTAATGTGGTACTGCTCACTTGATTAATTCCATTAGCCTAACTGAAGGTGTCAACGTGAAACTCACAGTTCATGGAGAGCATTAATGGGTCTACTTCTGCGCCAGGCACTGAGCACCTTGGCAGAGAACACCCAGCTGATGCTGATAACATATCCCGCAGCATCTCTAACCCATTCCTCACCTGCTTCAGATAATCCTGGCATTTCCAGTAACTTTGATTTCGGTATGTCTTTGAGGTTTCTAACACTTGTTCTTATTTGCTTCCCTTTTCTTCACATAATACTATGTCAGTTAGCATTAAAAATATGCTCCTTTGGCCAATGAGCCCAGGAGATGAGCATTCCTTGGGCTTAAAGTGTCTTCTATAACTGGTTTCTCGAGCTAATATAAGTTCCATAAAATGTTTTAAAAATTTTCTTTTAAGAAAATAATTATACCATTTCTACCTTTTCTTTCCTTTCTCCAAACCCTTCCATGTGCCCGCCCCCTTGCTCTCCCTCCTTTAAATTCATGGCCTCTTTTCCTGCTGTTACATATACATGTGTACATACACACACACACACACACACTCACTCCCAAATACTATAAATACAATCTTCCCGTCCATATGCTATCTATATGCACATGTTCCCAGTGCTGATTATACTGGATTATCAATCACCATGCTCTTCTCTTACTGCTCTCTCTCACAGCATTTGTTAGTTGCTTATAGTTCACAACCTTCTTCATTAAAAATATTTAATCATCGTCATTTAAAATGTATCACGAAGATGCTATGATTTAAAGCATATTTTAGAATAACAAGTAGTGGACATCATGCTTCAATCAGATCTGCAAGGGATTATTTTTCCCATTAAAAAGAACTTGTGAGGTGGGAAGATAGAGCTTTAATCCAGATCTTTTGAGATGGGAAGAGTCACCTTTAACCTGGGCCACCCCTTCTGCTGGCAGCCTATGAAAGATACGGAAGGAGGAAGCTTGCTCTCAGCCCGCCGGCAAGTCCATTCCTTCACTGTTCTCACAGACTCATGTATACTGAAGACCAGTTGAGAAATCCAGCTTCATGGACTGGATTGCAGGATTCCTGGACTTTGTGTTCCTAGACAAACATTGTCGACCAACAGAATATATGTATTCTAAAAGTTCTCAGAGAATATAGCCAGGCAGTAGTAGCACATGCCTTTAATTCCAGCACTTGGGAGGCAGAGACAGGAGGATCTCTGTGAGTTCAAGACCAGCCTGATCTACAAGGGAGTTCCAGAACAGGCTTCAAAGCTACAGAAAATCCCTGACTCAAAAAAAAAAAAAACCAAAACAAAAAGAATATATAAGCATGCGTGTGTATGTGTCTGTCTGTATTTTATAAGCTCTGTGCCTCTAGAGAACCCTGGATAATAGAATAAGTCTATGGGAGAACAGCTCCAAAGATATCTGATTGAAGAACCAAGGTGAAGGGTAATATTTTAGTGTCTCCCAGGATAGATGTAACGACAGAACTAACTTACAGAGCAGGTGCCCATTTGCGCATAAATTTCTAAACCGCTATAAAATGGTAGCAAGTAAATTACATCAAATATTCTGTGAAAAACAACATCCGTTGCAATTGGGCATGAGGCCCAAGCAGGCCTCTTACGGCTGGGCAGCAGAGGACACAGGTCCAACAGATTCATGCGTCACATACACCTGTGATGATCCCCCCAGTGCAAGGGGTTTGCTGCGCCTTCAAGATGCCCACATCCTTAACCACCTCTCCTCTGAACTCCATTCTCAGTCAGCCAGGGTTAGGGTCACAACACAAGTCCATCACAAGATTTTCCACATGAAAACTTTAATTGAAGGGGAAAAAAAGAAAAAAAACCACAAAAGAATTGGCAGATGACACCGAATACTTTCTCTAATCTATATGGAAAGGAAGCAGGAACAAGCCTTTAAAACGTGTCTACTAAGAAAGTAACATGAAGGTTCTTCAAACGAATTTCAGATTCCTCGAAACAACTGCAATAACAGAGACTTGAATAATTTCTCTGATAACATTCCATTTGATGTAGCCATCCAAATGCAAGAATAGAAAGTAAAACAGATCACCATGGTTTGCAGTAACCAAAGATTGTTTCAATGAGCCCGCATGTCAAGGAATTGGGAAACATTAAAACTAACACAACAGGCGAATCTTTGTTCCTCTGAACCCTCTGGGCAAAGGTGACATATTGTTGAATACTGTGGTGAATACACCTTTAAGAATTGGTGCTCTTGTCATTCAATGGCAATTTCTCCTAAATGATAAAGCACCAACTTCAATTTTATTAACACAACTTATACTCATGGTTTGGGATGTCCCCCAAGACAAGAGTTTACAATGGCGTAGTAATTCTAACTTCTGAACGAAGACCATTTACGTTCATTAAGGCACAACTGAAACCTCTAGGCATTCATATGAGAGCCATATTATTAACTTCAATAATGAGATTTCTCAAAGCAGCCTGTCCCTGAAACACAATCTGCTGGGTGGGTTGGTGCACTAGAACAATGGAGGAGGCAGGGTTTTACTTGCTGTCACCCTAGAGATTTCCCACACCAATCTGTGCCTGCAACAAACACTACGAACTCAATGCTCAAAGACGTGAGCAGATGTGCCCTGGTAGGTTCCTAGGTCCAACACTCATTCCAGTCATCTTCCTCTAAAACTACCCCTGCTTGAATGATTCTAGCATGTCAAATTTCAGCTCATCGTAACACACACACACATACACATGCACACACACACAAAGGGAAAGAATAGAAAAACAGAACAACTATCCACCAACATTCCTGCAATAAGGGATCTTATTCTAAATGGCACTTAAAGGCCCAGGGATGCAATTATAAGTAAGATTTTTAAATGCTCTCTTGCGTTACATAACACAGATTTTAGAGGCAACTAGAGAATAGTTTTAAATTTGCTCAACTCCATCTCTTTATCATAAATGGGAAACTTTGATTTTAAAACAATTAACCACTAAATATTGTTTTGTTTTGCTTTTTTAACCATTTGGCATGTAGGTTTATTTACCAAAATGGTTTTTAAGGACTTCCTCTATGTATTTTTTTCCTTCTTACCCCATCCTACCTTCATTCCCAGTAAATTGTGCAAATCAGAAGGGGGTGGTACAAAGCATCATGGCTATTGACGGTTTTTATTATATCTTCATGTATCTATATATGTAACGCACAGAGAGAGAGAGAGAGAGAGAGAGAGAGAGAGAGAGAGAGAGAGAGAAAGAAAGGAAAAGAAAAGCCCTGAGAACTTTCTTAGTAACTCTGGAGTTATACACCTTCTCTCCTGAAAACTGAAAAATATAGTCTCAAAACCTAAAACAAAATAAAACTATACACTATAATTTTAGAAGTCAATAACTAGACTTAATTTAGAGGAAGCACATAGATTTTTTTTTAAGGTCTACCATGATTATTTAGAATTTCCTGTGAGAATAAGCTCAAAAATGCAGAACGATACAATAATCTTTAATGTCAGAAACATCTCCACCATACAGAAATATATAACTATTTATCACTTTACAGTATCTCAAAATAGCTTCACATATATTTTCTCCTCTGAAATATAAGCAAAAAATATTAGAAATGCACAAGGCTAATCAAGCAATACGACGTCTATTTGCTGTATTATCAGTAGCCACACTTAGAGTCCTTACAGCCCATGGTACAACAAAGCCCGTACGAGAACACCCGTGGAAGCTCAGCAATGCGTCTAGCTACTTGGCCATGCTACATAGCATTTTCTGGAACAGCTTTTTAGTAAATTTCTGTAAGCATATGATAGTTTGAAAAACACAAAACATAGAAGTCAAATTCAGAGGGCAGTTTGATATCTAACACACACATCAATACATCACCTATAGATCTTATCTTAAAAAACTATTAAATGTACAAAGTGCTTTTAATAGAAAAAATTTGAGACGTTCGATTTTTATCAGCAAAAGGAACGACTTCCTATAACTTGTTCTTCACTGGGCTATTCTCTCTGTTATTTACAGATTAAATGTAGAAAACATTGCCACTTTATGAATATGCAGTTTAAATAACCATCATGAGAAAAGGCCACTATTTTAGATGGAAGCCAGGGAGTTCTCCTCTTGAGACTCAATATTTTCAAATTAAATAGCACAAGCTGACATAATCATTAATAAGAAATAATAGTCTAAACTTTAAATTGTTAAATGTTTTGATTTCTAAGGGTTCTGGTATACCATAATTTCTATGTGATTCAGATTGTATTAATTTTAGTTCCTGGTACTTTGTATTTAAAAAAATATTTTTAGTATCTAGCCCATGTTTATTTCTTTTTTTTAAAAAAAACTCATTTAGGTGTATGTGTGTATGGGCAGTACGTATGGGCACTGCATGTATGGAGTTCCCCGGAAAGCCAGAACAAGGACTCAGATCCCTTGGTACTAGAGGTAGTTGTGAACCACCCAGTATAGGTGCTGGGAACTGAACCCTGGAAGAGCAGCAAGTGCTCTTAACCACTGAGCCATCTCTCTAGTCCCCCTGATCCAACGGTTTTTATACTAAATACACTTAAAGTGGTTTGAATGCTTCATTGTGTGTTCAAAATTAAGATATTTTGAATTAAACTGATCATAGCCCGACACTTTGGCCCAATTTAGTAGTCCTCTTTCCTCCCTGAACCCTGTGTAAACTGAACAAGGTAAAGCTGTAGAATTGCAGTAACTAAATGCTGAAGTGTTTCATATCTTACTCATTGGGATGGATGCACAACACCAGTGCCACCATGATGCATGCACGCACGTCCGCACATACACACACACACACACACACACACACACACACACACACACACTCCTGGATAAGCAACTGGGCTGTGTTGTGTAAGTTAAAAAAACAATAAAATCTTATTTCGGAAAGCACGAGATTGGTGGGAGTATTTTGTGGGAATCACCACTAAAACTGTGGGTGGAAAAAACCAACAAGATGATTACATGATATGGTATGAAAGAGGAAACAGTAAAAATTCCTTGGGGTAGGAGGGTGGCGGGGAAAGCCTATAGGACTTTTCTTAAAAGCCGAAGAGAGATTTTATAAAGTCAATTCCTTGCTAAATAAAAAACAGTAAAAATATTCTCTGTTCACTGCTTTGTTTGTGTTTGTATGAATGTTTTGGAGTTCCCATCACAGTGTTTCCGATTGTCTTCGGATCTGTAGTGATTAGCAACAACTGTACAAAACAAGACTGTTAGCCAATGCGTTGTAATGTACTAGTTCTTACTAAAAGTGAGTGTACGGAACTGCAAACTGTTCTCAGTTCCAAAATGACAAACTACAGATGAACATACACACACACACACAGTCACTGTGGACGAGTGACATCAGTACCCCACAATGCTACACACAGCACACACACACACACACACACACACAGACACTGTGGACGAGTGACATTGGCAACCCCACAATGCTCACAGCATCAGTACGAGTGGCCCAAAGTGGTCTAGTGACATGGGCAATCCCACAATGCTACGCACATCATACATACAGATGCTATGGACCAGTGACACAGGCAACCCCACAAGGCTCATGGCATTAATGCACGAATGGCTCAAAGGGCAAAAATGCTTGTTGACAGTATGAGGAGACATCTTGAGAAAACATTTTTGTGATTCTTTTTTAAAACACTCCTCAGTGACTTGTAGTCCTAATCAACTACCAGTTTTATATATAACAGCCACAAACAAAGTCTATTTTTGTTCTATATTTTCACACACAGACACACACACACACACACACACACACACACACACACACACAAACGTCCTTTCTAAACACTTAATACTGAAAATATTTTTATTACTCTAAACATTAAAAAAAACCTTGAAATCTGACTATTAAAAATTTCCCTCTCCCCAGCTGGACATGGGTGTAGGAGAGGGTCCTAACGTGTGCTGGAGGACCCCTGTGGACGCTGACGAAGACGGAGCAGAGGCAGGCTCGCAGACACGTGGGACGGACAGCCACTGCAGAACCCAAAGCTAAGAACACCAGGGAGCTGCAATCAAAGAATCCAGATGACGTTCTGGATACATTCGAGAAGACCTAACTCATTCTTCCAGTTTCAAAATGAATTTAAAAGTCCGGCGAGACCACATCACGAGAGGGTCCTGATTTCTACATGAATCTCCCAAGGGAACAGGCTGAAGACCAAATGCTACTGGGTTAGTTCTAGATGACTTGATAAGATTTTAAAACTAACTGTTATATACAGAATTTGGAAAAACACATCCTAAATATATTCTTTTATTGGATCTGGTCTCAAAAACTTATTAAATATCTAATTTCATTGTGATCCAAAATAAAGTAAAAAAAAAAAAAAGGAACAAAGGGTTTACAACAAAATTCACAGATGGCTAACATTTTAAACGTGACCTCATCTCTGTTCCTCAGGGTAAATTAGACAGGAGTGTTTTACACCCTTAACCGGAAGCGGTTTGTGAGTTTCTGGCATTCACTGTGACACTACCTCATCGTGGCAACTGGTGTTTTCTGGATTTTCCGAGTCTTTGCTCTGGTTTTCCCCCTCTTCGACCTTTTCAGAAGAAGTTGGACACTCCCCTTTCCCTGCGGTCTCAGTAACTGTGTCCTCGGGTGGAGGATTTGATTCTTCAGCAGCACTGTCTGCCTCTATGTTTCCCGGCATGCTATCTTCACTGCGGGGCTCCAGGCTCGGCTCCTCTGTCTCCTCCACAGCCTCTCTAGAGGCCCCCTTTTTTTCTTCCACCGCTTTGCTATTTGTGTGAACAGCTACTGAGGAATTTTTGGAGTCCTTGGATTTCTTGTGCATAGACGTTTGACTATTTGAACCTGAAGTGGGCAGAGCAGGCATCTTGTGGGCTTTGCCTCGCTCCGGCTGTTCTTTCTTAGGCGGCCCCCAGATGAAATTCTCCGACGGCGTGTAATGTTTCTGGGCAAAGCGCAGGAGCTTCCTCCTCTCTCTCCTGTCTCTAATGGTATACACGAAATACTCCAGAGCGCTCTGCCTGATGTTGGGAAGAGTATTCTCCACCAGAGCCTCGTGGAGAATGAATTTTACGAGGGGAGATTTAAAACTCTCGTACCCAAGCTCACCAAGGCTTTTCAGAATCCGTGTAATCCTTAAATAGTTGTGCTGGGACCTGAAAGAGAGAATTGCAGACCATGAGAGAGAATAGCACGTACTTGACTCTGAGGTCTCGGCGCAACGCAACCTATGTGAAACTCAAATGTACAAATAAACTCTCCTCTTGAAATGACTCTCTATGTAAAGAATTACTGGGATTGAATGCATCCTCGCTGGTGTTACCTTGTTTATTAACATATCTGGGGACTAGGGATCTACCAGAGCAGCCTGCAACAAACCTCCAAGTATCAGGATAACTGATATCGTCATAAGAAGTAGCCATGGTACAAAAAAAAAGATGAAAGTGTGAAAGACATGCACAAAACGCTTACTACAGCAAAGTTGTAACAGATCAACTTTATTATTAGTTATTGTGGTCTCTTACTGTGTTTAACTTAGAAACCTCATCATGGATATGTATCTACAAGAACAAAACAGAGTTCATATAGGGCTCTGTACAACCTGTGACTTCCGGCATCCACGGGGCGCTCTGGCGCTTGCAACATCACTGATGTACATACTTATCACAGAGACACACTAGCTAGCAGCTCAATGGTGATTAGCAGCACCACCTGACCAGCAAAATCTGCCAGACAGGGTAGGTCACAAGGAGAGCGGCGCTCAGTCCTGTTATCTGGCTAGAACAACTATGACAAAGGAAACAGATCTGACCGGACAGGGCCCGCCTGAACTGTTGAGAGAGTACGGGCCTCAGAGGCGGTCACGTGCTAGCCCTGCTACTCAACTGCAATGAGAAACTATGATGCCCAGCTAAGCCTCTGTGTTTTCCTCTGTATGATGGGGAAAGAGCCTACATTCTAACTTCACGAGAGTAAGAATCCAATGAGACTCTAAGGATGAAAGACAGGGACAAACTCAGAACTACTGAACATTATGTAGAACTACTTTGTATGTGCATGTGTGTGCGGGTATACACGTGCGAGTACATATGTGTCCTAGGGCATTGTTTCTCTGCCACCACGTACCTAGTTTTCAGAGACCAGGCCTCTCCTCGGCCTCCAGGAGGCTTGGCCAGCAATCTCAGGGCTCTGTCTTCACGTCCCCAGTGCTGAGATTGTAAGGACGTATCACCCGCCACCCTCAGCTCTTATCACTATGGTTAACAGTACTATTACCTACTAAAGCAGAAGTTGGCATTAACACCGTAACTGCACTCAGTTTAACCTATTTCTTCCATCTTGGCCATTCTCACCTTTCCTCGCCGTATTAAAAAGCTTTAGATCTTACTTATAACAACCCTGACTCCAAACGTGCATTTCTCCCACAAGGCACTTAAGACTTTATTTCAAAACTGAGGCCATTCTTGGATTAGTGCTTTCCAACCTTACTTTGTTGCAGGTCGTAGCCTACCTCCCCAGCCTTGCTCACCTGAACGTGCTCGCCTTCATGCACACACCTGGCCAAACCCTCCAGATCCCCCATTACACAGCCGTGCCTGACAGTAACAGGTCAGGTACGCATTTACAAAGATAGCTACACAGTAGAACCAGCACTCGCTTCTAACTCCCCAAATCCTGTTTTAAATCAGACATTGGACTTTCCTGAAAGTGCTACATATATCTGCTCCAGCTTCTAAAAGTGTTTGGATTTTTAAATTAGAAGTAATTGCCAAATGATCTGGGAATGTTGCAGAAAGATGTCAAATTATTTGAGATATGGAAGTGTATGTTGTTCCGTGGTCTCATATTTCAATAAGAGAATACAGAATAAAGTAGAAATCTTAATTACTTGAGCTAACCAGTGAGTGGGATAGATAAGCCCACACAAATTTTATTATCTCCATTCTCTTGGATGTTTGTCCTCAAAGTATTAGTTTACATTTTAATTTTCTTTTAATCTGAAAGGTGAAACTTAGACATATGTATTAGTATTATGGATCTGTAATATCAAAATTTTCTTAAAGCTTCTTTCTGTGTCTGTGTATGTGCCTGGGCAAGTCTATATGCATCGTGTGCGTGCAGGAGCCAAGGAAGGTGAGAAGGGGGTGCCAGCCTCACAGGAACCGGAGTTAGAGGCAGCAAGGTGCCACGTGGGTGCTGGGGCCCACACCCTGGTCCTCTGCAAGAGCAGTAACAACTTTTAACTGCCGAGCCATGTCTCCAGCCTCAAATCTACAGTTTAAATTGTTTTGAGACAATGTAACTGGGGTAATCTTAAGAAACCATACCACTAACCACAGGATTGGTTTAGCGGTCACATCAGCGTAGAGCTCTTAAGTTGAAAGAACTTACTGACAAAACTCGAAACGTGATGAAGTAGGTATCAGATTTGCAACAAAACCACTCTAAGGCGAACGGGAAACTTAGTGTTTGCATGCACATTCATCTGCATCTAGGCATTCGCAAGCTAAAGTATTTATGTAACAGAAAAGAAAGAGAAAGTAAAAAACAAAGATCAGGATTCTAGAATGAAATTCTGTATGAAACCAAGATACTGGATGCTTCAGTCAGATTTGAAATAAATGTTGCAATGAAAGGCAAAGTGGAGGAAAGAGAAGTTAAGTCCTGCTGGAGCTGTCCACAGCCTTGGGCTCGCACACCAGGGAATGGAGAAAGGGCTGCTGGAGAGACAAAAGGGCAGGGCTGATTTTGCCAAAAGCCTAGACAGGTAAAGGGGGAAGGAAACACAGGAGGGAAATGAAACCTAAGCTGAGAGTCAGTACGGCTCACTGCAAACAGGACCTGAACAGCTCCTTGGAGGTTGATCTGCACAGATGTACGCTCGTGTCTGGGCGTATTTCACCAGCATATTATACCACGGTCACTTGTTCGCTCGACAGTACCTCATGTTGCTCTGATTAAACAGTTTTCCTCTGCTGAGCTATAAATACAGCCAAGTCCCGGCCTATTCTAAAGCGTTCAAGATGCCACGCGGCTTCAATCACATATAAGCAATGACATTTAAAAATAAGTCATAGAAGAATCCAAATGAAAATGAAGACAGAGGAGATACGCTTATATCATTTCACATCCTTTGCCCAATTATAATAAATAAAAACTTCTGGCAATTAGGAAGCTGCAGTGGCATGTGTCTGTAATGCCGGGATTTGGAAGGCAGTGCAGGGAGGACGGCAAATTTGCGGTCAGCCTGGACTCAGAGACCTTGTCTCAAAAACAGTCCTGCAGAGAATTCATATTTGGTTCCCAGCACCTGCTGTAGGCAGTTCACTGCCTGGGAAAACCAGTTCCACTGGATCGGATCTTCTGACTTCCGCATGCATCTGCATATATGTGGCACATACAGAGAAGACAAGCAGGTACACACATACATGTAAAATATTTTATTCAAATTTAAAAAAATGTTTTCCTCAGAGAGTTCATCTAGAGCTGGGAAAACAAACAGATACGAGATGACAGGAGAGGGAGCCAGGTGAGGCAGAGCGGAAGGGCTGTAAATCCAGGCCGCTCTTCCAGCCCAGGCTAAGAGACAACCTAATTAAATAAAGCCTTCAGAAAAGGCTCTGGTTTTGGCTATAAATGAAAAGACCTGACAATGATACCCTGGGGAGGACTCAAGCCTTTGATCACATTCTGTCCAGGATTTACAACTTCAGCCATGATGTGCCAAACACGACTGCCATTCCAAGAAGCGGAAAAGTGTCAGCGGTTTGCACACAAAAGTGCGGTGTGCGCACTCTCTGCGGAAGGCTGCCTTGCATGCAGCCTTCTTCAACAGCGTGACAAAGTTGCTTAGAAACCATCCAGACCTGACCGTCTGCAGGACACAGGCAGATGCAGATATGGTTGCCTTTAAATAGCTGATGTAGTGAACTTATCCCGAGTTCTAAGTTAGTGGCTCTCCAGTGAGGAGCGTAAAGATTTATGCCCACATTTTCAAGGCTTGAGCAGAACCGATCTGAATACTGTTACTTAAGACACAGGAAAAAGACGCCCAACCCTAGTATTTCCACCCCCTACCAAAGCAAGGGAAAATTCTAGGAAGATGCAAACATTTTAAAGAGCGGATGCCAAAACTCTGATTGTTTGTGCCAAAGAGAAATCACTTACGTTAGTTTTTTTCCTTAATACTTGCCCAGTTCAGCTAATTACAAGGTGCTAAAAAAAGTTTCTTAAAATTGTTGGTTTATAGTCCAGTACTCCTAAGTCACTCTATAATTAAAAATGGGGAAAAAACAGTGTACATATGAAGAAAATATTTTTAAAACTAAACTTTGGTTATAAGTATTAATTACCATTATACATATTCAAGCAAAAGAGTACAACTAAAGCCATCCAAAAAAGCTATTCAATTTTCCTTTGTAGATTTTGGAATTAACCACAAATAGGTACTTGTCTTTTACCTAACTCATGCAAATAACTTTTCCTCTATTTTAGTCAGAAGTATGGCCACATTGAATGAAACCATTTTTATACATCATAGACCTCAGTCACGAATTTAATATAAGCTATTTGCATGCATGAAGATATTAGAAACCGTTTGTACCGAAAGCAGCCTATAGCCTAGGAGAGAAGACATGAAAAACTGCAAGCAGGCAATAACTATAAACTCCATGAAACGTGGCATGGAGAGGGAGAAAAGCCACGTTTGGCTGCAGGCAGAAGATTCAGGAAGAAACCGCTCTTGAGCAGAACAGCCAACATTCTATGTAGAATTTGTCCTTTGGAGTTTCTGTGCTTTGCTTTAGAATGTACAAGAAGGAATAAATGCGTATCTGACTAGATTTTGACTCCTATTTCTATACCCACCAGCCAGCCAGTCCTATGCCCAATGTCTAGCTATCCCTATGCCCAGTGTCTAGCTATCCCTATGCCCAATGTCTATCTAGCTATCCCTATGCCCAAAGGCTAGTTCTCTGCCAACCAGCTAGCCAGTCCTATGCCCAATGGCTAGCTCTTCTTACTTTCCAGAGAATGGGGCCACGGGAGAAGGCCACTGGCTTACCATTGGGGCTTCACTTACTCATTCAGATGCTGAAATCTTTCTTGCCAATTTGCAGCCCGAGCAACATTTCCAGTTTTATCAATCAGCTTTATCCCAAAAAATTCTAGCATCATTTTATAAGCCAAGAAGAATCTTCTGATTGCTTCCTTTGTTTTTTTGAATTCCTATTATAAGAAGAAATAAAAAAAAAGTCACTTGAAATGACGCAGTGGCTATCAGGACAATAAAGACGGGATATTAATTGGCTACCTCATGCAAGATGAATTGAGTTTGCATTACCTCAATTTCATATGTAGTTAATTCTTTGGCATAAAAGTTCAAGCCTTGTTCTCGCAGGGGAAAAAGCCTAGTTGGTTAAAAACAAAATAAAAAATTTTCAACGAACACTGTCTTGAGAACACGCGATTAACAAGGGCCCGGGTACAAGGTAGAGAGCATTTCACTGACCATTGGATGTAGGTGTGGTTGTGTTCCAGCTTTTCATAGTCACCCTTCCATTTGCTCAGGACCTCTTCAATGTAAACCCCTAGACAGCCAACATTGAGAAAATGAACCACTCACTGAAAACACGGTGATGGCATTGTAACACACAAGTCACCCGAGTTTTATAATAAAACATTTAGTTTAAAAATAGCAAAACACAAGAACACTCCTGAAAGAGGAACAAACACACGGTGGCATATACTCTGTAATGCAATAAGCCTAATTTAAAAGCACACAGCAGTAACTGTGAATTACAAAACTCTGTCCTGGGCTATGCACTCTAATGCACTCTAAAGGAGAGGATGGCAAGTGATGGTCTAACGATCATTTTGTTAGTAAAGTTTTATTGGAACATAGACAAGCACACACATTTGCTATCTGCCTCTGTGCAGAAAAACTACTCCAAACAGCATGACCATCTCCATATGATTAATAACAACAAAAATTACTAATGAAAACAATGCTGTTAACTGGTATATTTGTTCAAAGTCACATACTAACAAATTATTATTATTATTATTATTATTATTATTAGTAGTAGTAGTAGTAGTAGTAGTAGTAATGATGATAACAATCTCTTCAGTCATGCACAAGTAACAAAGTAGCCTACGAGAGAACACTGGTCTTTGTGCCTGTATAAAGTAAGTCCTTTTATTATGGCCCCGTGTTCTCCTATAAGAACTTAATAAAATCCTGTTTATTCTCAGGTCTGTTGAGGTCCTTATCACTAGCCAGTTAGTTAATCTTACAGAAACAAACAACAAACAAACCCACAACTCATCTCACTCTTGTTTCCTCAAAGATCAGGAGCTTGTTGCCAAGGCCCCTCCCAGAAAATGGGAAAAGTTGTACTGAATCACACCATAGGTTCACACCATAGGCTCACACCATAGGTCCACACCATAGGCTTAACACACCAGAGTCATTTTTCTCCTGCATTTTTCCCCCTTAATCAATAGTAAATAAAACTGCATCTATATCCAGAGGTTTGCCTCCAGACTTCTGAGACACCAAAATGTTTAAGTTAACTGGATTTGGTTATTTTGGTAACATGCCTCAGGACATCAGATCAGGATTCCCTCTCCCAAATACCACACCCGGTGTGTGAGCTCCCCTTCCGGTTTAATCACCCAATATCCCAAGACTCTGAAAAGCTTATGTCTTAGGGTTCCTATGACCAGAAGTGACGTAGGGAGGAAAGAGTTATTTCCCTCCCACCTTCCACATCACAGCCCTGAACTGAAGCGAAGTTTGGATAGGAACTCAAGGCAGGAACTGAAGCAGAGGCCACGGAGGATTGCTGTTTACTGGGTGGTTTCCCATGGCTCGCATGCCTGCTACCTCTACCATCCAGGACCACTAGACCAGGGACGACACTGCCACTCGTAAGGTAGGGCGTCCCACATTAGCCAGCAATCCAAAAAACACCCTAGGGTTTCCCACAGGCCAATACGATGTGGGTATTTTCTCAATGTCTCAATGTGGGTATTTCACAAATGTCTCCAGCCTGTATAAGTTAACATAAAGCTAGCCAGCCCAGTTTCCAGACAAGGGCAGTGGTTCTCAACCTTCCTAATTCTGCGACTCTTTAATACAGTTCCTCATGTTGTGGTGACACCCCCCCCCCCAAGCATAAACATATTTTCGTTGCTACTTCATAACTGTACTGTTGCTACTACTATGAATCATACTGTAAAGACCTGTGTTTCCCGATGGTCTCAGGCAAGCCCTGTGAAAGGGCCGTTCGACCACCAAAGCGGTCATGATGTACAGGTTGAGAACCGCTGATCTGGGACCATCGCTAGCTGACTCATGCTGTTGTGAATGTCACTCTTACTGAGAGCAAATGACAGGAATCAGGGCAGTCGGGTCACCTCACACTGATCCTCCAGGGAGACTCTGGCTCCTGCTCTGCCTATGCACAATTCAGACACCTACTGAGAGGCACAGTGTGCTGCCTCGGGTTTTTTTTTTTTTGCTTTCAAGTTTGTAATCAAATTACCATAGCAACTGTGAATTTTCGCTTTGGGTTTGGAAAAGCTCCTATGCTGGGAAGGAGGTTTCACGGGTGTGAGGGAGGCATGTTTATTCGGCAGGGTTCCAATTGGGGTTGCTATCGTGTCCCGGCCCTTGATTCTGAAAAGTGGCAAAGGTAATTCTAGACATAAACAAAATCTTTACTAATATTCTAAATTATGTTTAGGTATGACATAGCAGAAAGAACAGTGGAACTTAGTCCCTCTCTAAGATCAATTCAGCGACGTCAGTCATTTAGGCTTCACGTCCCAGTTACTGCCTCTTCAAAATGAAAAGCTGAATTCAACCCCCTTCAAAATCTAATCATTTGAAAGTCTATGGCTTCTCATATCTCTCCTCTTTTCTGCACACACACACACACACACATACACACACACACACACACACACACACACACACACACACACACGAGTCTACTGATGTGGGATATCCTTTTGTATATGTGATGCTTTTATTAGTAATGAATAAAGCTGTTTTGGCCAGTGGCTTAGCAGAGTAAAGCCAGGCAGGAAATCTGAACAGAGATATACAGAGAGAGGAAGCAGAGTCAAGAAGACACCATGTAGCTGCCAAAGGAGAAAGGTGCGCCAGAACAGAACCTTACCTGGTAAGCCACAGCCTCATGGCGATATACAGATTAATAGAAATGGGTTTATTTAAGATGTAAGAGTTGGTTAAATAAGAAGCCTGAGCTAATGGGCCAAACAGTGTCATGAAAGAGCAGTCTCCTTCTACAGTCTACCCCCCCCAAAAAAAACTAAACTAAACCAAACAAACAAAACAACTGCCTTTATTACCTTTTCAGGAACAGCCATGACACACAGAAAATGATACAGTTACCCAGTATCTATTTCTCCACAGTTCACTAAATGGATGACCACAACTATAAAACCTGGGCTCTAGGGACACATCAGCCTGCACAGATAACAAGGTAAAACAAAGCTAACCAACTACACATGCAGCAAACACACACAAAGTCAAGATAAGGAAAGAACACCCCAATATCTGTTAGGATTTAAAATTTGCTTTGTTTTTTTTTTGTTTTTGTTTTTGTTTTTTGTTTTTTTTTTTAACCAACGTGGCTTACTTACCGTCTGGCTTAAATGGAATTTTATTCTTATAAAAGCGAAGGTTGCTCAAGTCATTTTGATACCGAATATCTTTGAAGTTCTGCTAAAGGAAAAAATAAATTAATCTCCAGTATATGGGAACACACAAAAAGGCACAAGGACCTTTCCGTTACATTTTCTTACCAGCAGAAGAAAATCAGAAAGACAAGCGTTAACATTTAAGGGGGAAAAACATTCTGTTGTCTTACTGGGTACTGATGTCGGTATTTGTACAAATCCCTCGCAGCATAGAAGCTCCTCTTTGGTTTAGCAGCCGCTTCCGTGGGATCACCACCCTAAGACACAGAGTGAAACTCCGTCACACACTTACACAGAGCATGATCCTGAGACCCTCACTGACACGGAGAGTGGGACTGAGAAAACTCCAGAACAAACTCCAAAATACTCAACATCTATAAAGAGCCCTGAACACGGACAACCCATCCAGATGAAGAAAACTATGACGTCTCTATACTGATGCTCATAAGCAGTGCTGGCTGGTATGACCTCCTTGTTTGCGTCACAAATTCCTGTCCTAAGCTCTATCACTAAATAAAAAACTTTCAGTTCACTAAATAGCAAACAGTTCAACACCTTTGGGGGTGGGGGGGTAAATGCTAAGAATCAGTATTAATCCGGAACAGCAATCAGAATGAATTGCAAACATGTTTCACCAGATGTGAAATGGTACCAATGTCAAAACTTATTTCATATACCACTAGGAAAGGGTTAAGTGGGCAATTCAACTCTACACAGAATATTCTCATTAAATCTGCACCTCGGAGCTGCACTTGAAAGTCAAGGAATATTTATGAACGGGAAGGGGGTTTTAAACTGAATTAGCTTTCTAAACTCCTTCAAAGCACCATAACAAACACAAGGCATGAATAATCATCTGCCCATTCAATGATCAATAGGACCTAAATCAGCAAATTTGAGATAAATAGGCAAAGCAAGACAGAGCTCATTCTCGGGTGGGATGAATGTTGACTTAGGTACTTTCTGTATGGCAATTCACTCATGCTGCTAAACAGAGGGCCACCCCTGTGAGGTCACTGTCGATGGGTAAGACGCAGGTCCGGCATCCTTTAGCTATCCATACCATATCATGTAGGACAAGATGCTTTTGCCCGGTGACACGCAGGACAATGAGATGGAACATGGGGAAGTCTGCAGTGCTAGAATATGAATATTCATTAGGAAAGCTGCCCCCAGTTCCTTCTCTCTCTTCATCTCCCGCCCTCTCTCAGTGCTGACAGACTGGCATCCTTCTAAGCAATCTTCACACGTTTCCGAGGTGGTGTGATTCTCACTCTTACTACAAGCACAGAGCTACTTCAGCGCTGAATCCTCCGACGTCTAAGGCAGCTACCCTGTCATGTTACATAAGCAAGGAAAGGCTTCCATTCTGCTTCTTGCCACACTTTTCAAAATAGCTCTGCCTAGCAAGTTTCAGAATCTATTTAGCCCGAGCTACAACCACATGAATCATCACCTGCCTTGGCCAAGAGCACTTTTCCATTTCCAGAACACTTCCGCGTCCTTTATTACTTCACTTGGGTCTTACAACATAGCTCACTGACCGTCATTACTGCTTGCACCTTAGAAACAAGGTGGCTGGAGCTTAGAGGAACTTAAACAAGGCTCCGATCCCAGCAACAGTGCAAGAACCAGCTGCTTCCACGCCTGTCTAATTAGGTCTGAGCCAGTGTCCTCCCTGCTAAAAAGTGATGGAAGTGATGAATATTTGAGAATCCTGTTACAAAGACCAACGACCCAAGATCTGGAGCCAAGAGACTAAGGTCAGTCTCGGTTCTGCTACTTAATATTTGTGAGGCCTTTAAGCCAATCACTTAGCTGAATCTTAGTTTTATCATCTGTGAAATGAAGGTGATGGCTCATGGCCTGCCTGGTCCCCAAGACAGACTGCCAAGTAAATGACTGAATCCTTCACCCTGCCAGCATCTGCCCTGTTCAGTTCTGGCCTCTTTCACTTCCTCAGAGAGGATTCTGCACCTTAACACACCACTCCCTTCCCCTTGGGCCTTCAAAATTCCCCTCTTCCAAACCATTCCCTGAACCCAGCAAGCATGCTTCAGTCTCTCCAAACTTAGGCATAATCTCTTGTCTGACCCAAGTCTGCCTCAAATATAGACCATGCCTCCGCTCCCTTTTGATGTAAATCGTCACCCAAGAATTGTGCATATTCTCTATCTAGAATCATATTCTAGAGCCCACCCCACAACCTAAATAAGGCTCTGCCCACAGCATGACATTAAAATGGGACAATTAGGAACTTTCCAAATAAATCTCTGCCTGGTAAAAATCATGTCTCAATGGCCACCCCAGGTGACTTCCCAGCTGCACTGAACCCCTTTAGGCCCTCCACACTGGAGCAATGTTAGCATTGGCTGTCAGAATACCACACTCTTCCTCCTGTCTTGTTTCCTGGGTCACTGTCCCCCACCCCGTTTTTGGCTCCTCCTCTTAATCACACCCTCTGTCTAGAGCAGTGGGCCTCAACCTGCAGGTCGCGACCCTTTCATAGGGGTTCCATATCATATATCCTGCACATCAGATATTTACATTACCATTCCAAACAGCATCAAAATTACAGCTAAGAAGTAGCAATGAAGTAATTTTACGGTTGGGGGTCACCACAGCAGGAGGAACTGCATTAAAGGGTCACAGCATTAGGGAAGTTGGGAACCACTAGTCTAGAGTGAGATTTGTCCTCATCCCTCATGGCCCCTTGGTGACCTCTTACCTTGCACTGATTTTTAATTCACTCCTAAATGCCCGCCTACAGCTCCAATACTAGACCAACTATTTATGGAGAGCATTGGCTACTCTCCAGTCCCTCTTGGATGTTTAATAGGATGGCAAACTTAACACTCGACTGAACCTCTAAAGCATCTTTCGCCCCAGGCTTCCTCTTCTCAGTTAATGGTACCATCCTTTGTCTTGTGTGCACACAGAGGTGGACTTCAGCAAAGATGGTGATGAGAAACCAGTCTGCAACCTACTTTAAAGGGGGAACTGACTGTTCCAAACAAGGAACAAACAGGGTGAAGAGCCAAACAGAAACCAAGAGATTATTTAAGAAGTTGGGTGGTACTTACAGGAAAAAAAGTCGCCATTAATGGGTGGTCTACTAGTCACTCAGGTTGGGGGGGGGCATGGGCTGAAATGTTATCACACTATTTTACATACATTGACCTCATTAATTAGATTATTACCTTTTTTATTCCAAACTTCTGTCGATAGCTACTTACTTGGGGAGACAAATGGAAAGATAAAACACTGAAGTAGGACATGTGACACTGTTTCAGGGTTCAGCACACAATGTTAGAAGCAAACCAGAGCACTAGGGAAGGATGGTCCCATCCCATCCATCAGGGCCAAAGCGCTCACTTTGGTGACAGTCATACTCAGGTCTGCATCTTTCTTTCCCTTTATGCTTCACACAGGATTCTCCCTAGAAGGCACACAATTCTCTAAAATGGTAATTAAAACGGCACACACACACCAAAACTGCATTCCATTTCAATAACAGGCTCAATTAGCTTCTATAGGGAGGCTCTGACGTTCTAGCAAGAAGAGGAGACTTCCCCTAAAGTCACTTTGGACTTGGGACTCCATTTTCTCTTAAGTGGTAATGGGGGGACGTTAACCTTAAACACACTGCACTGCAGACTTCTTTTAAAAAAATATAGTCCCTCCATTTAAAAGTTTCTGAAGCCAGAGGTAAAGGGACACCCTCCCCCCTCCCCCCCTCTCTTCTAACCTCCCTAACAGTATTGGTCAAGTGATTTAAGCTTGGTTGAATCAACAAGTCTTCTGGGTGAAACAAAATGTTTAAGGAATGTCTTGAAGTCGTTGAAAGGTCTCTCTTGGGGAAACGAACCCAGGCATATTAAGTTTGCACGGGAACCTTTCTGCAATACTTTTAATGGCCGTGGAATCCCGCTGAGGGGCAGTCTGCGGGCCGCTGAACAATTGCAGTTCCTTCTTGTTCTGAATAAAAAACAGTAACACGCACCGGTCGGGTCCTCACAATCCTCTATTTTTAGACTGGTTCCTCCCACCCCACCTTCGCATCACCCAGCTGCGCTGCAGAGGCAAAGATAACACCTAGAGGAGTAGGGGTTTGCCTTGGGGGACTTCCCCGTGGTAATCACAGCAAGGCCCTGGGTCAGCAGCGAGTCACCCAGGCAATTCTGGCCACCACAGGCTCCCCCAGGTCGGGTGCCCGAGCCATGTACGCCAAGCATCCCTTCCTGCATCCCCAAGGGGCCACTCGCTGTCCCCCTCCCCGGTGCCTGGGCGCTCAGCCCCGCCGGGACCACCCCGGGTCTGGGTCCAGGGGTCGCGTACCTGCTCGGCGCCCACCGCCTCGGCGTGGTCCTCGGGCACAGGGCTGGCGCGGGGCCGCCCTCCGGTTCTCTCGT